TATATATATAGTTGGTTAATTGGAGGCTGAGCTACATAGGTGGTGCTTTTTCTAAAGCTGTATTTTGACGATATTTGTGATTCTAGCAGGAGTTCATTTGTCCTTTAAACTCCACCACCAGTGSTGAGCACAGCTAACCACAAAGTTAGATTTGCTAACTAAATATATGGCTTCACTAACGCTAAACTGTTACACATGTAAAATATTAGTGGAAGCTAACACTTACAGATTATCGCTAACCACTAAGAGGACCGTCGCACGTCTTTGTCTCCTTCCAGCTGAACACTGGTGGGACTGACACAAACCTGCTGATGTTAGCTTGTTAGCCGTTAGTGGACTTAAAGTTGGCAAAACCTAATTTAGCATTAATCGCTAATTGCTGATGGATAACCACTGAAATGACTGTCACTCAGTCTGCGTCACACGTCTCCGTCTCCTTCGAGATAAAGACTTTTAGTTATCTAGCAGAATGAAGTTAGCCAAATCTAATTTAATGGAAGCTAACCACTAATTGCTAACCGCTAAGATGATTGTCATTTAATTTCTGTCCCCGTCTCCTTCAAGATAAAGACCGGTGGGACTGACACAAACCTGTTAATGTTAGCTATTAGTGGACTTAAAGTTGGCAAAACCTAATTTAGCACAAGCTAACACTATTAATTGCTAACTGCTGATTGATAACCACTAAGATGACTGTCACTCAAACCTGTTTATGTTAGCTTGTTAGCTTTTAGCAGAATAAAGTTGGCAAAATCTAATCTAATGAAAGCTAACCACTAATTGCTAACCGCTAAGACGATTTGTCAGTCAATTTGCGTCTTTTAGTTTTTAGTGGACTTTGAGTAGGCTAACCTAATTTAGCAGATGCTAAGTGGTCTGCTATTGGTTTGCAAAGTTAATGAAAAAGCTACTCCGCTAACTGAAAAACTTAGCTCTGCTTTTAGCTGTTAGCACAACAGTGACCGCCATAAATCCTGTAAAACGTCACTCGTCCCGCTCAAACGTTTGTTTTTGTTCTGCTGATATTTGTTTCATTTTTGTCTCACAGAAACAAGCCTTTTCACTGCTCCTCTGCAGCGCTCTGCCTCGCTCAAAAGACGAGTGATTATAGTGTCGCTTCTCGCCTCAAAGGAGGCTCCCTCGTCTGATCTCAGGAGATCTTGGGTAAAGCTCCCCTAATCTCAGCCCAATAGCTGCACCAGTGGACTGATGGACAGATGGCAGAGAGCCACTGAAGATGTAACCAGTGCAGCTTTGCTCTGTGTATAGATCCACTAATGCACCTCTTTTTTTTTATTTTATTTGAAGGCCTCTGGGATCTTCCACAGTACTTAGCGGACTGTGTGCTGTACTTTTTGATGACTGCTCTTCTGGAGACACACCTAATCCCTAACCCACACCTTAACCTCTTCCTGTCTAGGACGACTGTGACACACACACACACTCACTGAGAGATGAGCGCAACACGTCAGCCCTTTTCCCAGAACATCTCCCACACAGTTTCCTTGTTAGCACTCCCTGCAGCCTTCATGATGTTCCCAGCTTCGTCCTTCAGCGACGGAACAATAGGTCAAGTTTTATCTGCTGTACGAAATTAATGGAGTGTTGCAAACGAGGCAGCCGTTGTTGGCTTTTGATGCAACTATTGTGGCGCTGAAGATTGGTTGTGTTTGCTGTGTGTATTAGCTGCCACCACACATAGTCAAAGCAGAGGAATGTCACGGTCTGGGCTATCATCGGGACGCTCAGAGCTCAGGGGGATTACAGTAATGGATTGAGGGCCTGTGGATAATACTTGTGTCAATACTGTGCACCTCTTTTCTGAACCCTATGCTCTTGGAGAAGGCTCTGTCTTTTTTTCCCCCCCACTTTTTTTTTGTTGAGAGAGTTAAGCTTGATGGCTGCATCTCACATTGCGCCGGAGGAGGAGGAGGAGAGCCCTGTGAATGCTCAAAGAGAAGAGTGTTCCAGCGAAAGGCAGCAAGACGCAGCTTGTCCCTGGAACATCTGTGGGCCCGTCCCACGCCTCACGAGATGGAGCTGGGACTTGTTTGTGTCGAGGAGCTTGTCCCGACTCGCCCCGGGCCCTGAGAGCTGCAGATGGGAACAGGTAGAAGGGAACATTTTGAAGGCAGATTCGGGGAGGGTTTTATGGCATCTTTGGGATGTCTCCACAAACGTCATGGAAAAGCACATCCTCTTCCAGTTTTGATTACAAAAGTCCTTTTTTTGGCTTAAAGAGCCCTGTTTTCTTCCTTTACATATAGGATAAATTAAACAACCCCAAAACTTCACTCATTTATGTTTTTCCATTGCTTAAATGTAGCCCCTTTAGGRTTTTGTCTATTAAAAGTTTGTTWGCGGGGGGATTAAAGGTGGAGAGTRGGATGTGTACTGGATTGTTTCTGCTCAGACTACATGGGGCCACAGGACCAGGGTCCAGGTTAGCCCTCAGGACAGGTGTCATCACTGAGATTGGGTGGTCAAGATAAGTGCTGACAAAATGAGAGGTCAGAATCAGGTGACCGTTCTCCCAAATGTTAGGTTGATTTTGTTCTCAGGATTTTTCCTTCAGTCAAAAGAAAAGAAGACAGGGTTAAAACAAAAAAAAAAAAAAAACTTTTTTTGGGGTTGAATTAAACAGGTTTGGGAGACGCTACAGGCATGACGTGACATGTCAGGTATGAAAAAGACAAGACCAGAGGCGCCAAACAGCGCTTGTTTAAGGCCTGATGTTTGTCAGGACTTGATTTCTGCATGCGCCCGCAGCGCCTGTCAGGGAGAAAAGAACGCTGCGGCTGTGGGCCTGCCTCAACCTGCTCCAGAGAGGAAGTCTCTTCCTGTTTTTTTTTCTTCCAAAAGTGCTTCAAGATTTAGAAAGTAAGGTTGCACATCCACAGAGCTTTATTCATCACTCTAAAGTGGACAGGTTTCCACAAACTGCACAGTKGTTGCTTTTCTCTACCTTGTCAGTAAAATATTCATTCATTATCGACGTGACTGGCTGCCACGTGTGCCGGTGTGTGTTTTCCGCAAACACTGAGTTTTTCWTTCAAGCGCCCGTGATTGAGCCGCTCCGCATTGTGCTCTGTGTGTTCCTCGGCTGTGTAATACACTTTGTGACCAATGAAAAGGCCCCATAATTACATGTTAACACCTGAGCGCCGCGCCCTGTGTGAGCCACTGAATCCCATCAGTCATCCGGCTGTCCTCCGCCCTGAATGCTGTGGGCTTGAGCTGCGTGCCGCTCGCAGCGCTCCCACCGCCTCGGCAAACAGCACCAGCAGCGCATAGCTGTGCACTCAAAGTTTGTAGCTCGAGGGCTGGGATGGTTCTCTGCTGTGTGTGTGCGTGTGTGTGCGTGTGTGTGTGGTTTTATCTACCAGTTTAGGACCTTTTCTAGTATAAACACCTACGTTGTCAGCAGTTGTAGTCCCTTTGAGGACCAAACACCAGTCTTTATAAAGTGGAACACCGTTTTAGGGTTAGGCTACAGGTCCTAATAAGATTAGAAATACAAATGTGTGTCTTTGGGAGTGTATCATCTAAACAAACGTTCAGATTAAACATCTCAGATTAGATCTTTTCAGATTGGGTTGATTTTTAGCTTTTAGCTGCACAAACTCTACAAAGTGACCTCTTCAGAACCAACGCCTCTCTTTCAGCTCGCCTCCTRAATCCTCTGCTCCATTTCTCTCTTTCTTTTTTTGCGTTTTTGCCTCTCGTCTTTGCTTGGCTTTTCCACCTCATTTAGCTGACTGACAGAGGCGTACGGGGAGTATCAGGTTAGGAGCGAGGGGGACAAACACCGCCATTTATCTTCAGTTCTTTCTGGGGAACCTTTCGACAAGCTGCTTTGGTTTTAAGGAAGGGATCAGTTCAGCGTTTGTGCTGACGTCTCAGAATTTGAACTATTTTATTCAACCAGACAAACCTTTAACAGGACAGGTAGAGTTGTTGACTTGATTTTTGTTTGTCTTGCTGAGTGTGAAGGGTTAGGATGTGAGGATGTGCTGTTTTGTCCTGGAGAGCAGAAAGGTTGTGCTTCAGCTGAAAACACTCCTGCCAGGTTTGCGTAACTTTAAAATCAACAGGTACAGGTACTGGGAAGAGCTGCCCTATTTACTGGAAGCACTCCTAACAGAGGTGGAATTTTATGTTGCAAACACAGCCCCCAGCGTTTGGTTTAATTTTCTTTTTATTATTATTATACTTTAACAACGCTCGCTGTTTTTATCCAAGACACGAAGCTGACAGGAACATATTCCTCTCCACCCMCAGCCTGTGTCTTCTGCACACAGAGGATTTAAAGCTCTGCTTACACAGCACTGATTTGAATGGTTTGTTTACACAGTTGGGTCGTGCCTATTAGCAACAATTCACTCTTTTCTGACGGCTTACAGCTTATCAATCTCAACAGTGCCAGGGATCAGGGACATATCCATTAGTTACGACAGAAAAACCTTGATCGTGAGCCAGTCCGTGTGAGCAACCGTCACGTTCTGGTGTCAGGCCTGGATAGATCCTCGCCATTATCAATTTCATCTGAGCGCACAAGTCTGTGGAGCCGGAGCTTTCCAGCCACTTCAGAGGCCTCGGCTCTGTGATGAGTGGCCATCAGATGTTACAGCAGAGTGCTCCTCTCTCGGAGATGAAAGCCTTAATTGCTCCTGGAGGGAGGCCATTTTTATGGCGTGTCTCGGAAGTCCCAGAGGCTCTCTCTCCAAGACGTCTCTGAGGTTTCCAATACACACTTCGTGGCACCAGGACTCCTGAATGTGTGTGTGTTTATTTATGTAGGTCATAATCACAGTATCGCATATTTAACCCCCGCTGCTTCGGGGGAAATCACAGRCTTCTCTGCAACTGGTGTTTCCCAGATCAATCTTGCAAAACAGCCTCAAAGGACAGGMTAATTCTCTGTGTAAAATGTTAATCATCTTTGTTTTTCCTCCRCTTCTTTCAGTACTCGACAGACCTGAAGAAGCTCTACTGCCAGATTGCCAAGACCTGTCCCATTCAGATCAAAGTGCTGACCCAGCCTCCGCAGGGCGCCGTCATCAGAGCCATGCCCGTTTACAAGAAGGCCGAGCACGTSACCGAGGTGGTGAAACGTTGCCCCAACCACGAGCTCAGCCGCGAGTTCAACGACGGTCAGTCCCCCGACCTAAAAATCGACGCTCGTGTCTCGCTTCGACGATGGTTTTTCTTTTCGCTCGTTGGGCGCTTTGTGACGAAACTCGTCTCTCGCTTCCAGGTCAGATAGCGCCACCGAGCCATCTGATCCGCGTGGAGGGGAACAACCACGCCCAGTACCTGGAGGACTCCATCACTGGACGGCAGAGCGTGCTGGTTCCGTACGAGCCTCCCCAGGTGAGCGAGAGCCCGGCCTCTCACATCCTTACACCGATCTGACCCAGGCTGCAGGAAGGTTAACACTCCTTCTCCTTCTCAGGTGGGGACAGAATTCACAACTATTTTATACAACTTCATGTGCAACTCGAGCTGCGTGGGTGGAATGAACAGACGCCCGATCCTCATCATCGTCACTCTGGAAACCAGAGAGTAAGAGACGCCAAAGTCCACTTCATCCCCCGCTCTTTGCTCGCCTGTCAGCTCCCCAAATGAGCTGCTAGAATGTTGTCCTGACAGAGGCTCTCYGTCTCCCTCCCTCCCAGTGGACAGGTGTTAGGCCGCCGCTGCTTCGAGGCCAGGATCTGCGCCTGCCCGGGCCGAGACCGCAAGGCCGACGAGGACAGCATCCGCAAGCAGCACGTGACGGACACCACAAAGAGCAGTGATGGTACGAAACGCCGTAAGTAGCGCTGGGGCGGGCTGGTGACGGGCTGATGAGCTTTGGCTTTGATGCTGCCGGCGTGACGGAGTCTCCACCAGCGCACTAACGCAGTCGGCGCATGTTCCCAGCTGCACCTTGCCTGCTCCCTCGCTCGTTTCCCTCCCTCGCCTCTCCGCTGCTCAAGGCCCAGGCTAACTCCTCAGCTCACGRTCAGCTGAGCTCACACGCTTTTCTCTCCTCTTTTCAGCCTACCGCCAAGTTTCCCACGGAATCCAGGTGTCCACCGTCAAGAAGAGAAGGTCCACAGAYGAGGAGGTCTTTTGTTTACCCGTAAGTCTTAATTTTATCACATCAAAACACGTGTCAAACACAAGGCCATGGGCCAGACATGATCAGTGTGGCSGTTTTTGTGGCCCACGGGATCACATTTATATGGCATTAGATCTGACCTCGACTTCAATAAAGTGTCAAGTCACAACAAGCCTCATGATTCTGTAAAAAAACAATGAATCTAAAGAAACCAGCAGATTGTGTTGAATCACTTCATTAGTCTCCAGTCTGAGCAGCACATTGGTGACAGTGGAGAGGAAAAACTCCTTTTTAACAGGAAGAAACCTCCAGCAGAACCAGAACCAGGATCTGTGACACAATGAGTAACCACAGAGTCTCATCCTGCAAAAAATCTGTTTTTTGTAGCTGAGAAAATAAAGTTCAAGTCTTTTATTTACCTGATTTTGATGTGAAAGGACTGTGATAAGATCGTAAAAACTGGACCAATTAAACTATTGCAGATAAACATTCAGCAAAGAAAAAACTGTCAATCTAAAATGAGCAAACGCACATCAGAACAATAAAGGAATGTTTTGTTTTTCACTTTTTAAATTCATATGAACATTAAATAAAACCTTTAGATTTTTATTGAGTTTTTTTATCTGATTTGATCGATCGTGTCGAAATTTCGAACATTTATTGTGAAATTAATACAAAAAGAAAACAACCATATTGTTTTTTCCCCTCAGTTTGTGAAACCAAAATGAAAATATTTTTAATCGAACTGATTAAAAATCCACAGTGTTTGATTTTTTTGCTTCAGYTATTTGAAGCTAAAATAAAATATCCGGTTGTTTAAAGATGTAGAAATGATTGAAGTCATCAAAGACGAAGAGTTTCTAGTGGCTTAAAGAAGATTGCTTAAAAACAGAAACCATTCCTAAAGATGTTGACGACGACTGCATTTGAAACCTGTTCTGCAAAACCTAGAATATTGGAATATTAAAGCTATTTTGTTCATAATAACATCATCAGCTCTCAGTGAGACAAGTTGACTCTAAATAAGACAAAGATATCCATGGTGAGAACAGGATGCCACAATTTCCAGTTCCAGCAGAAGGTCCCAAACAAAATATAAATCTTGTCCTTTGCTTTAACCATTAAAATGAAAAAAAAAAAGTAGCCTTTTCAATTTTTGCAACTTTTTTTCTAATTTAGCTAAAAAACCAGATTTTTCATTTGTTCTTGTTTTTTTTTTAATGGAAAAAAACAAAACAAAAAAAGAACCGTGAAAACAAGCTGAAAACACTAAGMTGCTTTCTGAAAGAAAGAAACAAAAACTCTCTTTTTGCCTCTTCCAGATCAAAGGCCGTGAAATTTACGAGATTTTGGTCAAAATCAAAGAATCTCTGGAGCTGATGCAGTTCCTGCCGCAGCACACAATAGAGTCCTACAGGCAGCAGCAGCAGAACCTCCTTCAGAAACAGTAAGTACTCTGCTGATTTAAAAAAAAACACGACGCTCTGTTTGAGTTTTCTGAAATCACACCTGTTAGCTGCAGGCAGGGTTCACCCGGCCTGCTCTGAGCCGGTGCTGCTCAACTGTTGTGATGAATGTGCAGCGATGACTAACACACTTCACACGAGAGCGAGCTGCGCTGATAAAACTCCTGCATCACCGTATTTAAGGCTGCTAAAGAATTGCAGCTATMTAGAAAAAATAAATAAATCAATAAACACTGACAGGGAGTGCTCCAAATCAAGCATAATTTGGCGTTTAGCAGTTTCTGAGAAATTACCCCGAATTTGCTCAGTGCTGGAAGCTTTACAGGGCGAGCTGTTTTTCTCTTTTGTCCTCTTGTTCTCTCACGGGACTGCAGCCAAAGCTGATGAATCGTGACAAGTGTACCTGGCTGAGCTTTGTTCAAAGGAGAAACCTGCAAAGGTTCACGGTAACGCCTTTGGGTGCTTTGCCAGRTTTACACAACAGCGCCGAAAAAAAAAAAAAAGCATAAAAGAAAATGAAATCAGTGCCTCAGCTTCATCTGTAGGCTAATTAAAAGTGTGTCGTGGTTACACACTTTTTCCTCCTCGTTTCACAGAAACCTGTGGAAACGAGGCTGATGATAACGAAAAATGATAAAGCGCCTCGCTGTCAGCTCCTGCTGCTTTTGCTTTATGTTTTCTACCTGCAACACATGCAACCAGCAGCATGCTCCCTAGACTCTTACTATGTTTAAGGTGAGAAACTGAGGAAAGAAAAATATTTCTTTCCGGGGTTTAGGCGCATTTGTCTAGTTTTGTATCCTCTCACCACCTTTTACTCCAGTGTCTCCCTCGGAGCCTTTCAATAAAGTCAGCAGGAAGTGTTTCAAAATTTTTCTTTTTGCATTTACACTGAACTAACAGCATCTGATCTGTGAGTGTMTACTGCCCTCTGCTGGTCAAACTGTGTGTCACCTTCTCTATCTGTCACCTTCATTGTGTTTCTTATTTTTCTTTTCTGTAAAGTGTTTTATGAGGCTCTGGACCAGGGCCAGCCCCAYGGCACAGGCAGTGTAGGCAAACGCTAAGGCCCCCATCCATCCAGGGGCATCACAAACGGAGGACGAAAAAATAGATTTTATAACATTTTATCAGATTKATTCTGTAGAATATTCCCTGGTTCCTCAGTTTTTTGAACTTGTTCTGTGGGTTTCTCAGYTGTTTTGTTCCTACATGAGGTGTTACATGGAGCAGACACTGTTTCATAATAAAAGTATCATATGATGCAGTCAACACTAACACCTGGTGCTCTGTGGAAACAGAAAACAAAATAAGGATAATGAAGTTTCAGTTCTGATCTCAGATAAAGTTCAGGTTTTCAGTGTTTTACCTTCATAAATACTGATTTGATGTTTTATTAATCACAAAAGAAATTGTAAGATGTTCTTTAAATGGATGGACAATTAAGTTTTGAGTAAATCTGTTACAAAAAATTTCCGGAGGAGTAAACCCCTGGATCCCCCTAGAACTGCTTCAGTCCACAGCTGCTGGTTAACATGAACAGGTGTTCCTCATGATGTGAGGAGGTAGACTTCTGAGATTCTAATTCAAATTAATTATATTGTAAACTATTTTAATTGGACAACCTGGTTTCTAAAGATAAAAAATAACATCAAATACAAAAGTATTTAAYTAGGTTTGTGAATGTCTGTAGGTTGGCAGTGAGATTTAGAAARCTGCACATCTGAAATCTCGCCTCTGGCCGGCCCTGGTCTGGACCTCCCCTGCTCTCCTCCACCTGTGAGCCCTTATTTCTGCCTCTCCTTCCTCCCTGCAGCCTGATAAAAACCCGCCTGGGCAGCCAGCTCCTGGAGCCTACAGGGGATCAGAGGCGGCGCTGCAGCTCCTCCTGAAACTCTGCTCCACATTCCTTTCTTCAAGGAACTTCCTCTCTTGTCTACTTTCTGTCGTCGTCTTTTCTTCTGCCCGTCCTGGGATTTCTGCTCTGAGGATCGGAGCTGCTGCTCCTGGGAGGTCCCCCGCCTCATCTGCCTGAGATTAGGTTACCTCAGCAGTCGGGGGGGCTGAAGTCCTTCGAGCTGGACAGAATTATTGGACTGGACTGCATGCTGTTTGTTCAAACCTTTCAGCTCTTTAGGCTGACGTTTGGACCAGAACCAAGACAATTTTATGACAAAGATCCCTGAAGCACACGTGTTGGGCCTTTASGTTGTTAAGAGCTGGACTCTGGGGGCTTTCTTTTTTGTTTKTTTKTTTTTTGTGGGGGGTTAGAGACRATTTAAATGACAGACCTGTGTGCCGGTGCTGGTCATGTTTTTAAAGTGACTGCAGGACAGTTTGTGTGTTTAATGCTCCTCAATCAAAATGTCTTTAATTAGAGCTGAGATGTGAGCTTTATGTTGTGCAGATGTTGCCACTCTGTTTGAAACAGATTGTTTTGTTTTGCTGGCTCCTGGAATCATTATAATAATAATCATAATATAATAAATGGCTTCTTTTCTTTGCTTTAAATCGGTCTCTTTTTATCTTTCAGGTAAAGGTTAAACGTTATGGTGCGTTCACACCAAACGYRATTTCAGCATCAGGAGCATCAGGTTTACATACAAAGTCTATGGTGGATGCGCTTCAATCAGCGTCGGGAAGTTCTGCGGCGCCTCAAGCGCGATTAGAGCAGCGCGATTTGAACGATTTGAACGATCTGAGCGTTAGACGCGCTGAGGCGCAAATCGCTGAAGTTAGAAAATCTGAACTTTTGCAGCTCGACGCGTCGCGTCAACCAATCAGAGAGACTCCACTGTGTGACGTAGCAACATATTTCCGGACGGGACAGTTTACTGAATGATGTCCACTAACCTGAAACAGACGGAGAGGAGCTCTTTTGCTGAAATCGTGCCTGCAGTCAGTGTCCTGATCCGCAACAATGCGTGGCAGCGACTCATCAGACTGAGTCCTGAAAGCGAGCTGTGAGCCTCTACTCTGAATTATCTGGTGAATTAATTATGAATTAATTATCTGATGAACGTGACATGTTCTTGCTCTGTAAATAAAGCAAAGCCACTTCCTCGTCCGACATTAAACAGAGCCCAACAGAGGAGGGAGGGGCGGGGAGGCTCTTCACGTACAGCGCTTCAAGAGCTGACCTGCGTCTGACCTCAAAGTGCACGAGCGTCCAACTTGAAGCGTTGGCTGCGATTTTGAAGCTGAAATCGCGTTYGGTGTGAACGCAGCATAAGGCTTTATTGTCCCTAAAATGGGAGTTTACAGTGGTAAAACCACAAAAAAACAATTTAAAAAACTTAAATTAAAAGCAGAACAGTCAGAGGAAATAAGAATATAAACTACCAACAACACAAGTAAAACAGTAGGAATGATAAAAAGTGCTAATATTATTGTTACACAGACCATCCAACACCCTGCTCTTCTCTCTCCTGCCTCAGGACTTCCATGCCGTCTCAGCCCTCCTTCGGCTCCAGCTCCCCGACTCACGGAAAAGTCAACAAGCTGCCGTCGGTCAGCCACCTCATGAACCCGCAGCAGCGCAACACGCTGACCCCGTCCAGCATGTCCGGAGGCCTCACTGACAGTAAGTCAGCTCTGCTGTTTTCCCTCTGCTCTGTCTCAGGTCCAAACCCACAGCAGGCGCTCCGTCTCTGCGGGGCTGTTTCTATAAGACAGCGTGCATGAGCCCATTCCCCCCAAAACATAGTAATATAAAATTTCAAATTGGCCCAAAGGACCTGGTACGATCAGGGGCAGGGGGGTGGGGGGTAAGTGAGGCTATGGCCACTCCCCTAAAAAAAATTGGTGGCGTTCCCTGCTGGCCCCCTTCAGCCAGATATTTTTAATTTTCTCTTGYTATTCAGGATCAGTAAAACCCAGTGGTGGGCACAGCTAACCAAACAGTTACCTCCGCTAACCGCCAATACGCTAACTAGAAAAATACCTCCTAAAACACTAAACAGCTGAAWTGGTGAGATAAATAGCGRAAGCTAACGCTAACTGATAACTAAAGAAATGTCATTTAAACAGGTGTGTGGCAAAATGCAGGCGCTTTGTTAAAAGCTCATCAAAGAAAGAAACACTAAACACAGTTAAAWCCACAAGCAGTAGAATCGGCAAGGAAACAAACTGCACAAAGTGATGCAAATAAAAAAAATCAGTCTGTTCGCCCCACGGCTTCTTCATTCAACCAATATGTCTGCTGAAARCTGATGGCGCACAGATTCCAAAAGTTTCATCACAATCCAACCAGGATTCACGGAACCACAAGCAAATAAAACCAGATTTATGTCCAGCGTTTGAAAAACATATTCAGAAAATCCACCTTACCTTTGCTGTTTTGCTTCTGAATCATAAATCCACAGAGGTAAAATGTTATAAACTGAGTAACTACATCTCCCAGAGTGCTGTAGGACATTTTCCTAGGCCACAATCACCCTTTCTGATCAAATTACAGAGTTGTGAGCAGATGAAGGCGACTGTCACTCAATCTGCTTTACACRTCTTCATCTCCTTTAAGTTGAAGACTTCAGGTGGACACACGAAACTGAAGATGCTACATGCAAGGAGCATGAGGAAAGCATGCAGAGCTGCATGTGTGAAGGGAGAGTCATTTGTTAAAACACTTAGTTAACAACAAAATTTAATGCAAGCTAATTTGGTCCCCTAACAGTTCCCAACATTAGCGAAAATGCTAGTTTCCTAAACCAAAAGTTAGCTTTGTTTTTAGCCGTTAGCAGATTAGTGGAACTGTGTAAAACCTCATGAAAATAAAAACAAACTGTATTTGAACAATTAGGAGTCTAAAATGAAGCTATATACTTGATTTAAAATTAAAAATAGAGTCTAATATCTAGTACCACTTGATACAGACTGGTCAGTAACACTTTAAAATAAGGTACACAAAAAAAGCTTAACTACTGAGGAACTACTGAGTAGTTTCTGAGTAGTTACTGAAGACACCAAATAGTAAATACTGAGTAGTTATCAATGACACCAAAGAGTAACTACTCAGGGACTACTGAGTAATTACTGAGTAGTTACTGATTTGTTCCTCAGTAACTACTCTTTTGGGTGCTTCACTTTACTTTAGGGTACAAAAAAAGAGTAGTTACTGGTCAGTTACTGAGTAGTTACTGTTTGGACACCAAAGAGTAACTACTCAGGAACTACTGAGTAATTACTGAGTAGTTAYGGATTTGTTCCTCAGTAACTATCTACTGTTTTGGGTGCTTTACTTTAGGGTACACAAAAMCAGTAGTCACTGGTCAGTTACTGACTGATTCGTTCCTCAGTAACTACTGTTTTGGGTGCTTCACTACATCAGTGAACAAAATAATAACCAGGCAATGATTTGGTACTAATTAAGTGATAGTCAGACTTACTTAAGATGACATCAATACAACAATATAAAACTACTTACATCTTTCATCAACCGGTTTCCAAAATAGTTAAACCAATAAAATCAGTGACATCAAGGAAACAGGTATCTAACAATATCCTTGACCTCACAGGAGCAGGKTTTATTCAGAGATCACATGAAGATAATTTCCTGGTTCCCAGGAAACAAACCAGAAGTCCCCTAATAAGGATAAGCTATGTGTTCCCAAGTAACTTCTGGTAAACTATTCAGTAGTTCTTGAATAGTTACTCTTTGGTGTCATTGGTAAGTACTCAGTAGTCCTTGAGTAGTTACTTTTTGGTGTCTGGTAACTTACTCAGTAGTCCAGGAGTAGTAAATCTTTGATGTCCAAAGAGTAACTACTCAGTAACTACTCAGTTGTTCGTGAGTAGTCACTCTTTGGTGTCCAAACAGTAACTACACAGTAACTGACCAGTAACCACTCTTTTTGTGTAYCCTAAAGTAAAGTGAAGCACCCAAAAGAGTAGTTACTGAGGAATGCATCAGTAACTACTCAGTAATTACTCATTAGTTCCTAAGTAGTTACTCTAGTGCCCTTGGTAACTACTCAGTAGTCCCTGAGTAGTTACTCTTTGGTGTCAATGGTAACTACTCAGTATTTACAATTTGGTGTCTTCAGTAACTACTCAGTAGTCCCTGAGTAGTTACTCTAGTGCCCTTGGTAACTACTCAGTAGTCCCTGAGTAGTTACTCTTTGGTGTCAATGGTAACTACTCAGTATTTACAATTTGGTGTCTTCAGTAACTACTCAGTAGTCCCTGAGTAGTTACTCTAGTGCCCTTGGTAACTACTCAGTAGTCCCTGAGTAGTTACTCTTTGGTGCCAATGGTAACTACTCAGTATTTACAATTTGGTGTCTTCAGTAACTACTCAGTAGTCCCTGAGTAGTTCCTCAGTAGTTAAGCTTTTTTTGTGTACCTTATTGTAAAGTGATACCACCTGGTCTAACTGAACCAATATTCAAAAAATTAGAGGGTCTTTGTTATTTGTATACATTTTGTTTAGATTGAGTTAGCGGAGCTAACTTTTTGGTTAGATGTATCCATGACTAACTGTAAGTAAAAAAAAAACTAAAGTAGACTTATGTTTATCAGAAAGTGATTCCCTAATCTTCATATTGTTGTTTTAGACAAACAACCTATTTATGACAACAACATAAAATCTGGCTTTTGGTTTTGGTGCCACCCCTGGACTTTCAGTGTCCCCCCATGGCGCCCTCATTAAAACATTTCTGGAGGCGCCACTGGGTTTGATGCATCACATTTCAAGTAGAAAGTAACCTCTGCATGACCTCCCCCCAACCTGTCACGTAAACTTTAAACCCCGACACAGTGAGACGAGGCTGACTTTAGCTCCCTTTGTCTCTGCAGTGACTCCCATGATGGGCTCCCACCTGCCCATGAACGCTGACATGAGTTCACTGAGCCCCACACACGCACTGCAGCCACAGCTACCCCTGGTGCCCTCCTCCCACTGTACCCCCCCTCCTCCATACCCCATGGACAGCAGCATCTCCAGGTACCTCAGCCACCAGTTCTGCCTCACTTCCACTGCACTTCTTTGGCTTCAGCTTCACAATCTTCAGAACACATCAGAAAATACAATTTATTGACCAAACTGTATGAATTTTAATGGAATAATTCCAATTTTATGTTTTTTTGTTGCCCAACAGCTTCCAAAATGTTGAATTAGATAATAAGCTTGCAATATTTTTTTAACATGTGTCTAAAAACATAAACTACACAAACAATTATTGTGAATTAGATGTTAAAATTTTTAATCATTATAAAATTGGCACTATTAACTTGAACTAAATGACCACATTCAGTAGAATGTACCTCAGTGAACTGTCTGTGTGTGGAGCTACATTGGGGCCATAATTTTTTGTTTGTTTGTTGTTGTTTATTTTTAGTTTCAAATCTATTTTTTCAAATTCAAGACTGCTTTTTAGTGTCAATTTTTTCAGTTTCAAAGAGATTTTTAATTTTAAATCTTTGTTTTTCAG